CAGTGTATGTATAAATACACACACACACACACACACACACACACACACACACACACACACACATTAGAAATAAAACTTATTTTATAAGTGCCTTTATACTCTGAAACAGATGTTGTAACCTGGTAGCTAAAAGGACCACAAACCTAAAATCCAAATTTAAATGCCAGCATTACCCTCACCAACAGTGGCCTTCGATAAATCTCTGAGCTAGCCTCAAGCTCACTGCATGTGAGCTGGACACTTCACCCTTCCCTTTCAGAGGGCCTGTCTACCCCACTTCTCCCACCAGCCACTCTGAGAATGAGGAAGTAATTACTGGAGCCCTGAACCAGGCCTGTCACGTGATCACTCTGAAAGCAGGAGCTCCTGCGATTCCCTGAGCCTCTTGACACTTTCGGTGATAGCAAGCCCTACTGAATGCCTTCACAGACAGAGCACTTACCAGGGGTGCATGACCCCCCTCCAAACACAAGCATCACCCCCAATGGTGGTCAGGCCCTCAGTGCCCAGGGATGACTTGTTCTCTGCTTTGCTTGGTCTCTGAGCCTCTCTTCCCCAGCCAAGCGTCTTATCAAAGACCTGGCCCCAAAGCCTTAGTCATGTCAAGTGTAGGTGATGCTGCAGTCCCGCAGGGGCTGTCTCCACCTCAAACAGAAACGTGTCAGCATGTAGAGAGAGGAAGGCAGCTCTATATCCGTCCTGAGTTTTTAAGTTTCTTTCTCTAAGTAGAAAATAACTTATACTTTGCCTGTGATTTAAAACCTGGGCTGGGACTGGAGGGAGGGCTTAGGGGGCTAAGAGCACTGGCTGCTCTTGCAGAGGACCTGGGTTCAGTTCTGAACACCCGCATGGTGGCTCACAGCCTTCTCTAACTCCTGTTTCAAGGGCTCCAACACCCTCTTCCCACCTCCATGGGTGCTGCATGCACTTGGTACGCATGCGTGCACTCGGGCACAGCACCACATGCACAAGTTAAATTTTTTTTTTTTTTTTTGGTTAGCACCGAGAATATTAAATGTTGAAAAGGATGTGGAGAAGCTATATCATTGCTATACCTCTAGTGAAGATGTGAAATGGTACAAACATGCTGGCAGTCTTAAAAGTCAGAAATGGTCAGAGGTCAGTTTCCTTGACTGTCAGAGGCAAGGGGTGCACAGGCAGGACTCTAACTGTCTGGGTCAGTGCACTGTCAGCAGTGCTGATCTAGCAGGTGTCCTTTGCCCCTTGTTAACTCCCTCGTGCTCGGCTGTATGAGCCATTTGAAGCCCCGACATATGTCGGTGGGTGATGAGGCCTTCGAACTCACTTGTCCTCTGCCTTGACACGTCCTTGCTGGATGCAATCGAGTTTAAGCCCATGTGGGTGTCTTGCCTATAAATGTATGTCTGTGCACCATGTGTATGTCCAGAGCCATGGAGGTCAGAAGGGGGCAGTCAGTCCCGAGACTGGAGTTGCAGGTGGTTTGAGTTACCTTGTAGGTTCTGGGAATCAAACCCGGGTCTTCTGGAAGAGCAGCCAGTACTCTAAACCAGCGAGCCACCTCTCCAACCCCTAACTCATGACCTTAACTTGCATTTCCTAAGGCCTTATATTGTTCTGTGTCTTTCTATGACTTATGTACAATACAGTTTACATATCTTAATTACTGAAGACAGATCATATTCAAATCTTATGCCCATTTTAAATTGACCTTGTTGAATTTTGAGGGGTTTGTTTTGTTTTCAGACAGGGTCTCAAGTAGCCAGGACTAGCTATATAGCAACACCCTTTCTTTGTGCTGGGAATGGCTCAGTTGGTAGGTGGAGTGGTTGCCTAGCATGCACGGAGCCCCGGCTGCCTGCAATCTTAGCAAGAGGATCAGAAATCAGAAGTTCAAGGTTCTTCGCTGCGTAGTGAATTGGCTGTCCTCTTGGGTTACACATGAGACCCTGATTTAGAGAGAGAGAGAGAGAGAGAGAGAGAGAGAGACTGGCTCCTTAAATGGTAAGAGACCCTGAGTAGCCCCCCTCCTCTGGGCAGCTGGATTTACAGATTCTCAGACTAAGTCAGTGTTTGAAAGGCTCAAGAGAAAGCACTTAGGAGCTCACTGTGGCGATTGATACGAGTGTTTCTGCTTGTCAATGGCCCTCTTCTCTCCTGACCTCAGACCCTTCACTTCCTGTGAAGTGGAACCAACGCTCACCTTCCTACTGGGCCTTTGCAAGTTCTAAGACCCTCAAATTGAACTGGCTGGGTCCTTTGTCGTCTTTGGGACCCAGCCAGTTCATTTTGAGGGTCTTAGGGCTCGGGGCTTTTGCTAGCAAGGGAAAGAAAAGCCCCCCACTCTCTGCTGGATTTCATACAGGCAGGCGGGAGCGGGGGTTGCTTAGCACCTCTGAGCTCAGCCCAGGAGGCCCAAGTTCACCTGCTAATAGAATCATCCCAAAAGGAGCTGACAAAGAAGTCAGACCCAAGGACAGCAACAGAACCCAGAGCCCTTCCCTGGTGCCTCATGTTCCAGGAGAGAAAATGTCATTTAATTGTTGTTTTCAGTGAGAGAGGAAAAAAAGAATGAAAGAAAAAACTTTGATTTTTTTCAAAGCAGCTTAACACTTTATGGTATATAATTTCCTAGTTTGTTTATTGGCCACTGTCTGTCCTCGCTAGACTAGAAGCTCCCTGAGAGTAGAGATTTTTATCCATTTGTTCATTGATTTATCTGGCACCCAGTATAGCACCTGTCACAAGGCAGGCGCTCAATAAATACCCAGCGGATATGGATGAAGGTGTTTGAAGTCTGGAGAATAGTTGTAAATGTACATAGAAGTTAGAAAAGATAACTTCTTTTTCTTTTATCCTTTCTTTCATTTGAGATAGGATCTGATATAGCCCAGGGTAGTCTCAAACTCCTTACACGCGGGAGACTGACCTTGAACTCCTGATCCTCCTGCCTCCACCTCCCAAGTGCATGAACCACCAGGTCCAATCTAAAGGTATCCCTCATAAGATTTGTTTCTTAGTTAGGGTTTTATTGCTGTTAGAGACTGTCACAGAAAATCTGTCAATCTCAGGGTCTGGCTCTTGGCTCCCTTCTCGTTCCTTCTGCTCTCCTTCAGTGAGTCATCCCCTCTCTAGGTAAGGCTGTCCTCCATCAGGGTTTGGGGTACCTCTTCTTACACTAAAGCATCCCCACCTCTCTCTCTGCAACCCTACTTTTTAAAACAACAACAACAAAATTGTTTCCCTGACTTCCTCTATCTTCCTTGACCTCACGAGTCCCGAGTGTCTCCCATGAGGAGTCCCTCAGCCTTTGCTGTTCCCCATACTTCAGGAGTTTGGTTCCTATAGATGATCCAGTTCCTCGGTAGAGAGAACGTTGCCGGGGACATCGCCACACTCCCTCCAGTATTCCTGCCTGTGGGCATGGTGTTCTGTTCTGGCCACAGCGCCCCCTGGGGCAGGATCTAGGAGAAAACAGAGACTGCTAGCCGTCAGCCAGTGGGACAAAAGGAAACAAACAAGCTCCATCACCAAGCCCTCTTCAAAGTCTGTCTGGAGGGGACACGACAGACGCCAGGCAGACAGCCTGAACACGTATTTAATTCACTCTTGCGTGACCCAACAATTGGGTCATTCCAGGGCAACGTGAGGCTGGTTTGGCGACCAGAGGGGTGGGCTCAGATGCTGCCAGGAGCTTGTGTGCTCATGCATTTCCCTTTTATAGAACTGGGAAGGAAAGCAGATCCTAGATGAGAAGCAAGCATTTGTATTCCCTATGACTTCATTTTCTGGTATCCCGATCATTTAAAAACTTGAAAAAAAGAACAGGATGTCTCTTCTTTGCCCGAATACCTAATTATCAAGAATCCTGAAACTGTTTATATCATTTTAGGGGAATGAGATAAGAAAAGATCTTAAGAGGAAACATGACCCATACTTTAAGAGATGGACATCATATGCGGGAAAGCATTGCGAGTGAGATCAATATCAACAGGGTTCACTGTATTTTAAACAGTGGGATTCAAGTGGGCTTTTATTCATAACGCGATGAACAGCCCCTTGCATTAGGCCGTGACATCAGGGGGAAGGAAGAGAGAGGAGCAAGCGGTGGCCAAAAACATATGTGGGATCCTAAATGCAGCCAAACTAAAATGGACTTTTCCAGAAAACCAAACGAATTAGGAGCAGGAACTATCCATCTAGTGAAACCCCCTGTGCTCCTGTTTCCCCGCTTCTAATGGAGCTGGAAGGTACTGACTCCCCAGTTCCACGTGGGCTACTTGAGACCATGTTTGAATTTGAAATGGAAAGATTCCGGGAGGAAGCAAGGACAGGACCTTTGGTCTGGATGGGACTAGAGCTCTCACTCAAGTTCAAGGATCTATCTAGCACCAGACTTTGACCATAGATCCAGAAGTGAGTCACAGATTGTCCTGGACACTGGATTCCCAGGCGCCCCAGAATCCCCACTGCCTGAAAAGCTGAAAATGCAAACACCATACAAAATTAAGGAGTGACTGTTACAAGTTAAGTCACTGAAAGCCAAACTTCGAGATGTGGTGTTTCTCCAAAGGTTGTGGGGGGGGGGGCGGGGGGGGGGGAAGAGCGTGTTTTCAGAGTTTAGTTTGGAATTTGGAGCCCAAGTTTGCCCCTTGGTGCTCCGCACCATTTTGCAGGGCTTCTGGTTAAACATTCCATCTTGGTTTTAATGGAAGGACTTGGTACATCCAAAACCCTAGAAGCTCCCGCTACCTCTCCTGGATCCACACAGAGAACAAGAGGACGCCTTGAGTCCCAGGAAGTAGCTCGCCATGTATGTGGATATTTCTAATTTACGGGTAGAAAACTCTCCAGTTAAAAAACAGGCTAGCTAGTAATCTATTTAAAACCGCGGCTGACATGATAAATGAAACAGAATAAATGTATACAGCGAGTGAGCCTCGGCGGGAACACGGGGGGGGGGGGGGGGGGGGGGGGGGCAGAGCGCTTCTGCTGACAGCGACTTTCCGTCAGTGGCCTGTCTCTCTTGGAGGCAGCTGTCAATCACAGGCCAGCCCGCGCTCCCGGGGGAGTTCATTGTGCCCGCAGACAGTTGTGGAATAACTGCTCCTAGGCGTCGGAGCAGCAGATGGAGTGTATCTGCCAATCATTGTCACTAATTATTAACTTCTGTCACTCAGAGCAAGGCAACATCTCGGCGCCTGATCCGCTGTGATTTGATCTGCCACGCCACCTCGGAGACAGACGGAGCAACCCTTCATTCCGGTCACACTCTCAGCACTTTGCTGGGTCAGCCGCTGTGACTCAGTGCTGCGCCCCAGACCGGGCTGACGCACGTGGCTGTGCACACGCGCCCCGGCTTCCAGGAGGCAAAGCCACCGCGAGAGGCCTCCTGGGGGCCCACGCCAGGGGCGCCGGTGCCTACTCGTTAATTATTAAAGGAGGGCGTTTTTATCTTGTCCGCTGGCAGAATCGAGGCTAAAATAGAAGAAAGAGACCAATTTAGAGGGTTTTCTTCTCTTTGCTCCACCCGGGGACCAGTGATTATCACTCAAGTTCACATTGATTATATTCCTATGATCTCTTCTCAACCTTGTGATTTGGGAGCTGGCGATGTCAGCCTGAATAATTAATTAAGGCATCCGTGTAGCTCGCTTTGCAAACAGGAGCTATAACCTGAGTGGATCTTTGCTATGGATTGGGAGGTGGGAGACTTGGGTTCAGAGAGCCTCTTTATGACAAGACTGGGGAGGGGGCTCAGGGATCTTCAAGCCCAGCATCCCCCAGAGAGGACATGACTTTCCAAGGTTGGGAAGCCCTGAAGATCACGCAATCAAAATAAGTGCATCACGTCCCAGGCTGGGCAGGTCGTGGTGCTGTAGCGCTGCGCCAACTGCCCTCTGCTAAGGGGTTTGGGGAGATGCCTGAGACTCCTGTAAGGGGCTGAAAGTATGGCCACCTACTCTGAAGTCCCTCTGGGCACCCTAGTACGCACCGCTTTCCCTCTCTGGGAAATGATCTCTGCTCATGCGCAAAACTAGGATAATTACAGATGCTCCTTCCAGGACTGGGGTAGAGCGCTTACACCTCATGAACAAAGCCCTAACTCTTCCCAGCATCATAGATACTGGGTGTGGAGGTGCGCCTGTAATCCTAGCACTTAGGAGGTGGAGGCAAGAGGACCAGCAGTTCAAGGTCAACCCTAGCTACGTAGTGAGTTCAGCACCAATCTGGGATGTGTGTGTGTGTGTGTGTGTGTGTACATATATGTGAGACTTTGCCTCAAAAAAAAAATCAAAACCAGAACTTCCTTCAATGGACACACCTTGCCTGGCTCTTGCCTGGCACAGTTAACGCTCTCTTGGTGGGGATGCATCCATTATCCATTCATGCCAAGTAAGAGTTGGATTTTAAGAAGCATGAGAAACCTGCTATGAGCCTACAGACCTGGCTGTTGTTTCCATAACTACCCGTCTGGGACCTGCTTGGGTGAACTGATGCAGCCTGGGGGGTGAGCACACATGGGCTGTGTGTGTGAGGTGATGCCCCTTAGCTGGATCTCTGTCAAAGCAGCCAGCTCTCTGACAAGGTGGGGTTCTATTCCCATTTGCTTTGCGTACCTTTTCTTCACGGAAGGTGCTCTAGGGCGGTCCAGCCAGCGCTTGGTTAGAAACTAAGCCAAAGTCCAGAGCTGGAAATCAGAGTCTGACTGCATTTGAAAGCACACCCCGCTGTGTGCAACACCCGCCAGGGATGCTCTAGGCCACCCAAGATGAGAACCCCACCAGACTCCCTGCCCTGCTGCAATTCCCATGACTACACTAACCTTGCCCTGCCTTGCTGCAGTCCCCGAGACCATACAGAGTGCTTATGTGACACCATGGGATCCTTTGTTGTCTAAACCAGTCTGGTCCTGTCTGAACTGGTCTAAACCGGTCTGGTCCAGTCGAAACCAATCTGAACTGGTCTAAACCGGTCTAAACCAGTCTGAACCAATCTGATCTGGTCTGAACCAGTGGTGACTGTTCTGGTCCAGTCTGCACCAGTTGAGACTGGTCTAAACCAGTCTGGACCAATCTGGTCTGGTTGGGACCAGTCTAAACTGGTCTGGTCTGGTCTGGACCCTTCGAAACCAGTCTAAACCGATCTGGCCCAGTCTGAACCAGTCTGAGCCAGTCATGACCGGTCTGGTCCAGTCTGGAAGGGTTGAGAATGGTCTAAACCATTCTGGTCCGGTCTTCACCGGTCGAGACTGGTCTGGTCTGGTCTGGTCTGGACCAGTTGAGACCAGTCTGGTCCTGTCAGAACCAGTCGAGACAAGTCTGGTCTGGTCTGGACTGATTGAGAAGGGTCTGGTCTGGTCTGGACCGGTCACGACCGGATCAGACCGGACCAGACCAGTTTAGACCTGTCTCGACCAGTCCAGACTGGACCAGACCGGTCACGACTGGTTCAGACTAGACCCTTGTCTCTGCATAGTGATTTCTGGGAGCTGCTGTCTCCCCATTATCCCTCTTTCTCTACTCGGGCTCTTGCAATTTCTCCAGTGTGTCAGCTTCATGGCAGTCAGATACCCCAGGTGACAACCAGAGCTTCGAGGCTCGGTGAGAGGAGACAAGAGAAAGATAACAGACAGCTGCCTGCTGCCTCTTATGTTCTGGTCTCCAAAGTCAGGCAGCCTCATTTCCTCCAGTGTTTCTTAGTCAAAGCAATGGCAGAGGTCAAGGGACAGACTCCCATGTCAAGAAAAGCAGGACTCAGGTACCTGTTGGTGCAGCTGTCTTTGGAAGCCACGAGCCATGACACCTTCCCTGGCCATCCCCTGTAATCTAGAAGCCAGGCCGATACCATCTCTAGGGAAGCCATAGGACTCCAGCTCTGGAGAGGATGAGAAACCAGGGGCTCATTGCAAGTCACACCTAGGACAGGCAGTCTGGAGTCCTGAGCAGGAGGAGTCTTATGAATACAGTGTTGCTACCGTGCCCAGCCTCCTCACACAATGGGTTCAATCACAGCAATGCCTTTCTTGGGCTGGTATTGACTTCATTGGTTCCTCGGGGAGAGTGAAGCCCTCCATTTCCTGGAATATGCCACCTCCCTCCTTCCTTGAGGTCTGGCACATTTAGTTCTCTCTGTGAGGAACATGCCCTGCCCTGCCTGCATGTTCTTGCTAACTCCGCTGAAACTTTAGGTTTCAACTTCCTTGCTACTTCTCTGGGAAGTCCGTCCCCAACTAACTCCCTCCCTGCGTCAAAGCTTCCAGTTGCCACTGTCCTAGCACCCTGCATTTCTCCTTATAGCCTCTCCCACCGGTGTAACTAAATAATTGTCTTAAACGGCCCTGGAGTTTTATTTTTTGAGACAGAGTCTCTAAAGCTCAGGCTGGCCTTGAGTCTCACGTGTGGGTGAGGGTGACCTTGAACTCTTAATCCTCCTGTCTCAACCTCCCAAGCCTCCCAAGCAAGGGATTTCAGTCCTGCTCTACTATGCCCAGTTTCTTCAAGCTGGAATAGCTAGGGCTTTGTGCAAGCCGCCCAGGCACTCACTAACGAACCCACTCCTCCAGGCGTTACATATGGTAAGGTAACAGAGATCAGGACAATGGTCTGGGAAGGAATTTGCTTCTTGTAGTTCTTAGGAGATAGGGTGTCCCAGACTATATAGGGCCACATAGTGGAACATGGGCTCAGTTGAAAGAAAGAGAGTAGAAGGAAGAACACAGAAGTCTTAGGGTTTCTCTTGCTGTGAAGAGACGCCATGACCACAACAGCTCTTGTAAAGGAAAACCTTTACCTGAGGCTGGTTCACAGTTCAGCGGTTCAGTCCATTCTGTCACAGCAGGAGCCTAGCGGCATGCAAGGAAGACACAATGCAGGAGAGGTAGCTGAGACTTCTACATCTGGATCCACAGGCAACAGGAAGAGACAATGAGCCACCAGGCTTGGCTTAAGCATTTGAGACCTCAAAACTCGCCCCCAGTGATACACTTCCTCTAACAAGGCCACACCTCCTAATAGTGCTGCCCCCTTTGAGCCTATGGGGCCATTTCATTCAGACTACAATGGGCCAGAGGCTTTATTCTGGTTTCGATGGGAGGAGACAGGCAAGACACATTTAAGCAAATTCAGGATTAGGGAGTTTGAATAATTACTACAGGCTCTGGGCTGTAGGGTGGACTCCATTTGCCCAGTCCTGGCCCAGGGGAAACTTAGGACAAGGCCCTTCATACTGGCTTGGTGTTTGGGAGTTGGGTAAATGAAGCAGTTGGTGACCAGAGATCTCTGGACTGGTCGCTTTGTGCATAGAAGGTTATGTTCTCGAGGAGTTAGCTAGCCTGGAGGGGTGATGTCTACCCAGCATTAGCAAGGCTTCCAACATGGTAGTACTTTATATAATGCCGAAAGGAGAAAGGCAAGGAGCTGGGGAGATGGCTCATTCGGTAAAGCGCTTCCACACAGCATGCGAGCAGAGTTCAAACCATAGATAGAAGTGGTGTGTGAAAGAGTCAGGATGCACTGATCACCCCAGCACTGGGGAGGCAGAGGCAGATGGCTCTCCAGGGCTCACTGGCCAGCCAGTCTACACTAATCACTAAGTCTCTAGCCAGTGAGAGACTCTATCTCAAACACGGAGAACAGCACTTGAGGAACGATGCCCAAATCTGACCTCTAAGCCCCACCCCAACACAAGTATACATACATACACACACACACATACAAGGGGGCGGTACAGATCTGACTAATCTAGTAGGTGTATGTGGCATGCCACCCTTCCCTTCAGAGGCTACCTACCCTCCATGGGGCCTGGCAGGCTGTCTCACTGCTAAATCCTCAGGCCAGCTGAGAGTAACTGAGTTCTAGCATCACAGTGGTCACCTGCCTGGTCTCACAGTACAGCTCCATGCCATGTGGGCCCAGGGCTGCTGAAGGAGGGCCTGGAGTCGTTCCTTCCTTCCTCATGAGCTTCCTGCCCTTTACTTTGCCTCTTCAACTAGAGGGACCTGTGGAGAGTCCAGGCCTGTGTCCTGTGCATATATAAAGCCCTCCAGACTGGGTACCCAGACTGAGAGCTTTAGGCTGATGACGTTCAGTAGAACTCTCTAGGCTGGTGGCCATCTTCTGTGTTTTGTGCTATCTAATTCTGTAGCTATTAGCTACATGAGGCTAAAGAGCATCTAAAATACAGCTGTACAAATAAGGGGATAGTTCTAATTTCCCAGTTGTTTTCACCACCTTCAATTTAAATGGCCACGTGTAGCTCGTGACTACGGCCCTAGCCCCAGATCTGAGCATAGTTCTAAATCCTAAGGCACAAGAATGGCTTAGCTCAAGGACAACCTGTTCAAGAAGACAGGCTCACTTCTGTGCCTCCAGCCCCCCATGGGCCCTGACCATCTTTGAGCATCATTTAAAGATGAAGAAAGATAAAATTACAGGAGGGGAGCGTGGAGCCCTTCTCTCCTGATTGCTCCATTCAGCCTCATCTCTTCGGAAAATGATATTCAGGCTGTTCCTCTCGCTAAATAGTAGAAGGCTGGGGAACAGGGAGCCAGCATGAAGAAAACTACAGGCTTCTGCCCAGCATCTGCCCTCCCTCATCCCACACCTGCACAAAAAATTGGGGAGGGGGCATCCACCCCACCCCATCCTCTTCTTGTTCTTGATGACCAGAATGGGGGCAGGGAGCCACACAGCAGGGGGCAGGCGGGTGAACAGACCACAACCAGAGGAATCTGTAAACACCTGGAAGGGCACCAGCTGAATCTGGGGCTGATGGGGACTTCAAGCAGAACTAATGGCCGGGTTCCACACCTCATTAGCTGGGTAGGATTCCTTCTACCTGTCCCTCACCCCCGCCCCACTACTGGGTGGAAAGAATTTTGTTAACAATGTTAAACTATTTGCCATTTCCGAAAGGAGGAAAAATCAATTAAAAAAAAAGAGAGCGAAAGTAAAAATTAATTTCTTCATTCCTTGTGCTGATCGTTTGAGATAGGATTCTCCCCGATGGGGATCCGGGGAAGAACACAGGTCCTAGGGCATTCGATAGAACATTCTCTCTGCAGTGATTAAGGTTGCGTCTCCCACCACGTCCCTGAAAACGTGGCCTGGGACTCAGTACAACGTCCAGTTTCATGCAGTTCCCCTTACTTCACAGGAGTGAAACCCCAAATTTAGGGTGTTTGGCAGCAGCGGATAAACACAAGTGCTTTACAAAATACAGGTGCATTTTGTCAATGGGTATGATGGCCTAGGCCTGTAGTCCTAGCACCCGGGAGTAAGAGGCAGGGGAATCTCAAGTTCAAAGCCACTCTGGGCTATATAGAGAGACCCTATCTTACAAAAAAAAAAAAAATGCGTTCTGCCTCTGCAGACCTTTCTGGATGAAGGCAGAGCCATGCTTCCCTTTTTCAGATTGATTTTTATTATCTTAAAATTATGTTTACATGTATGTCTACACACAGGAACACAAATGTCAGCCGAGGCTGGAGGCATCAGACCCTCTGGGAGCTGGTGGTTCTGAGCCATCTGATGTGGACGCTGGAAACGGAACTTGGGTCCTCTCCAAGAACAGCAAGTGCTCTTAACTGCCAAGCCAGCTTCCCAGTCTCCCTCCCCTTGCTTCCTTCTAAGGAATCTGTCTGTGATGGCCAGTCATCATTGTCAACTTGACTAGATTTGGAATGACCACGGAGACACGCCCCTGGGTATGTCTGTGAGGGCATTTCCAAGAGAGGTTTCACTGATGAGGACTCTAAATATGGGTAGCCCTACCCCATGGGCTGAGCTCCCACCCAGGCTGAAGGACAAGAGGAAAGGACCATCGCTGAGCACTGATGTTCATCTCTCTTTCTGGACTGTACTGCGATGTGACCAACCACCTCATACCCCCGCCACCAGAGCTAGAGCCCCCATCACTGCCACATCTTCTGCTCCACGATGAACTGCATCCCCCTAAACCATGAGCCCAAATAAACCTCTCTTTCATAAGGTTGTCTTGTCAGGTGTTTAGTCACAGTGGTGAGAAAGATTACTAATGCAGAATGTCTCGGAAGCCAGAATGTGAACTCTGGACACAGCACACCTCCTTGTCCTTGCCCCATAGCTGCCCAGAAGCTTCTAGAAAGTTCCAAGTGCGCTCTCCTAACCTCAGACAACTCGGATCACTAACAACATTTCCAGTGGAGAAACTTTTATAAAATATTACAATCAATTCAATTGCATTAACACGCCTCTAAGTTCACGGTGGTAGAAAACACAATAGTTCTCTATTACATCAAGTGTCTGGTCAGATAAATATCACACGTAACTGAAACCAGAGGCGCTGGGGGGACCCTGTTTATCCCAACTTAGCAAAAGGAATTATCTGACAGTGGGAAATGAAAAACTACTAATAAACATTACAGTTTATTGAAAAGTTTAAACAATGAGATTAAGGAAACTTCTGCAATATTAAGAAATGTATATTATCCTGCTTTACCTTTGCTTGGGGAATTCCTCAAGGATTTATTATTTTGTTAGGGCACCAAAAAGCCCGTGTTATGTTAAGGCATTCTGCTTCCTGCCTGCATTCCGCATGAATCTGGAATTAAGAGGCAATCTCTCTTCGGCACATTGTACTTCCCGAAATTAGGTTTAGTTTCCCGAGCAGAATTTGGAAGTCAGTGTTCTCCCGCACTCCACCCGGTACCCTTAGCCCATAATAATAAAAACTCTGGAGAAAAAAAGACCCTTCTTTGGCTGCCACCTTCACTGGTGGTTGCTCAATGCATGGACCTGAGAGTGGGGACGCCGGAAAGCTGTCTGTCCCCAAGAGTCCGAGGCACAAGGCAAAAGACAGAAGCCAGGGCTGCTGTGGGCAATGGTGTGGCCTTTGGTCAGGGAGAATTGGGTTGAGTGGCCCTAACCTTCAGATGTTCCACATTTCCTGGCGGCCTTGTCCCTGCCTCATCTCTCCATGTCACTCCTTAGTCCCCAACGGTGAACCCGCTTTTTCTCAGATATTAGACATTTCCGAAATAGTCTACAATGCTTTCATGAGATCCAAAGTTCAGATGGGGAAAAACTGAGTTCTGATTTTCCCACTGTACATTGAGGCTATTAACAACGGTAACTCAACATCACTGCAGACTAAGAGGCACAAGCAAGGATGTCTCCAGCCTTCCTGGATGCTGAGACCTCAAACTCACCCCCTCTAAACATCCCCACCACCACACACACACACACACACACACACACACTCATCTCCACCACGCTGGATGCAAAGCTTAGGCCCTGAACAGCACCCACAGGAAATCCACTAACACCCGTGGGTTCCAGTAGAACTTGGGAAGGCTTGTGAGTGTCATGTTGAGAGAGGAAGAAGGACAGGGACAAGCCACGTCCGACAGTGCAAAGCATGCCACAGCTCGCTGCTCCCTCCCAGCCTACTGAAGATCCCACAGCTGACAAGTGGCCTTGGATATTCTGCCACCCCAAGAACACCTTGTCTTCGTGGATTGTTTTCAGAATTGTTTTCACCTGACCTACCTTGAGTCACCCATATGACCACCTCTAGGGAGGGCCAGCTGCAGGTGTGTGAAGGTGACCTCTGTCATATGTAGTCCATGGGTTGCAACGTTGCTGGGAGCTGGAGCTCTCTCTTCCACATTGGGACCAGCAGAAGGCAAGTGTGTACAGGTCAGCATAGCCTGGCATCAGGTACAACTGGTCCCCAGATGGTCAGGAGCCACCTGGCAGATAGAAGAGACAGTAATAAACATCATTGTCTCGGACACACCAGACTCCTTGGGCAACCTCTCAAGATCTTAGTTTCCAGGCCTCAGTATGCCCACTCTGCAAAGTGGGTACCGTTCTGCTTCCTCAAGGCACCGAGTAAATCTTCGCCAAGGCCAGCA